CTGCCAAATACCTTGCTGGGGCCTGGGACCTGATGCCTCTCCTGGATACAGTAACGATTCCCTCTCCACGTGGGTCCTGGAAGCCAGCCTCTTTTTGGGGGGTTGGGGACTGGTGGATATGGAGGCGTCTAATGGCAGAGTCCACACCAATGCTAAGTCGTTGCCCAAGTGTATAAAAATCCCAAGTTGGGATACGTGGAGAGTGTCCTCCCTGCTACTGGGGCGACCCTCTCCAGTCCTCCTACTCCTGGGAATAGCCCTTAAAATGGCCCCTGCAGACGGATGCAGACACAAGGACGAGTTTCAGGCTGTGTACCATGGCTGGATTCTCTGCATGGAACACGCAGGTCCTGTGCCCGCCACGCCAGAACACATTGCACTGAGACAGGGTGGCCATTAGTAACCGCAGTAGCTGTTTCCATCAGAGCCCCACTCACCTGTCAACGTAAATGCTGCATCTGGCCATGAGATTCGGTGAGCGGCTGTGTGCATGGACGGGATTTGCCCGGTGTTTATCTGGGGTGGCATCTGACCTGCTTTCTCCTCTTTATGTAGAACTTGGTCCCAACATAAGGACTTTAAAGACCCCTAACTGCTCCCCAGGGAGATGTCTGTACCAAGTGCACCAGGCTGCTGTGGAAGGTGGTGCACTGCTCAGAGGAAGGGGTGCATTTCTAATTCACACCAAGGTGACATAAGGGCTAGCTGTGGTCTAGGGTGGCACCCTGAGACGTTGGCATGAAGGATATTAACAGAGAAACCCCAGTACTTAAATTAGACTAGCACTTCTCCCTGCAAAGCTTTTCTTAGCAGCAGCAAGCGAAGCAATATCACTATTTATTACCTTTGCTACCCTTCTAACTCAGCTACTGTCTCTGGAGTGCCTATCAGTGTGCCAGGGACATATGTGCTCTTTTTATGTGTGGCTTTCTAGTTCTCATACATGTTCTCACCCCCACTTTCCAAACAAATAATTGAGGCTCAGAGAAGCTGTGTAGCTTGCCTAAGCACACAGCTTGCCAGTGGTGGGGCCAGAATTTGAATCCGTGACTGCCTGACTCCAAGGCCAACTTTCCAGGGTCCCTGGAACATGAATAGCTCACAGTGGATGGGTCCATGTTTTAAAATAAAAACACATGTATATTTCAGTTGTGAAGCATAACTTATAGAAAATACATAAAACAAATTTATAAGTAAATGAATTATTGTAAAGTATGTTCCCATGTGATTTCCACTTAGGTCAAGAAATAGAGCATTGCCAGCACCTGAGAAGCCCCCTAGGGCCCCCTCTGTCACCGTCATAGCCCTCTGTTCTGATTCGTACGGAAATCACATCCTTGCTTTTCTTTATGGTTTTATCACTTAAGCAAGTATCTCTAAGCAGCACAGTTTCACTTTGCCTGTTTTTGAGCTTTGTGTAACTGGGATCTTACAGTATGGATTCAGCCATGTCAGGTTTCTTTCATTCAACAATGTGTTTGTGAGATGCATGCAGATTGTCAGGTATAGCAGTAGTGTGTGTATCTTCATTTATGTGCAGTTTTTTATTATATGACTATTTTATCATTTATTTATATTCTTCTAGGGGTGGACCTTGGGGTTGTTCCAGCTCAGGGGTCCTAGGAATACTACTGCTGTGAACACTCTTGCACATGTTCCTGAGTCTCTGCAGAGTATAGACCTAGGAGCAAAATCTCAGGGTCCTAAAATGTGCATGCCTTCAACTTTAGTAGATACTTGACCAAATGTTTACAGAAGTCATTTTGCCAGTTTACACTCGCACCAGCAAAGTGGGGCAGTTCTAGCCACTCCTCATCTTCACTAATACCCCGTGCCATCAATCTTTGTACCTTTAGCCATTTTGGTAGGTGTGTAGTGATATTCCACTATGATTTCAGACACGTTTTCTGGTGAAGCACAGATTTACTTTCTCCAAGTGGATGGGACTCCATGATGTTGAGGCTTGTTGTGGAACTTACCAGTTGGCCAGTGTCTGGGCATTTGGTACACACCACCCGTTTAAACACAGAAGTAGGCAACTGTTGAGGAGTTCTGGGGCTGAGCTCTCTGCAACTTGCCAATAATGGTCTTGAAAAGTTGGCTTATGGGAAACCCATGTGGGTGTTTGGGCTCCAAGATCAACAAACCTTGTGCACCTGGGCATGGATGACAGCCCTGCTTCTTGGTGGTCCTCTGCTCACCTGCCATCCTTATCCCAACTGTTCCTGTTGATTGCTGTCCCATTCTTGTCAATCACCCAAGATCTCATGGGACTGCTAATGGTCAATGCTGACACTTTCTGGGCATCTGTCTAGGCCTCAGTTTCCTCAATTGGAAAGAGGGGCTGTTGGGACGATTGAACGAGATGACACATGCAAACCTGGGCACAGTGCCTGGCACACTTAATCCCCCTCTGTGTGACACCTTGCCACCACCTTAAGACTCTCAGATCAAACAGTCTAGCACATACTAAGGAATAAGGACATTTTTCTAAATGTAACCTCATCCTCCTCACAGACTCTGGCCCTCCATGGGGAAAAAAGCCTTTAGAGTATTAATGAAGGTGGTTTTGGTTTCCCCCCCTTTTCTTTAAGTGGATTTTGAAAAAATTTTATTTTATTTTAATTGGCAGATTGTAACTGTACATATTTACAGGGTACAATTTGAAATTATACTGCATGCATACATTTTGGGATGATTAAATCAGGGTAATTACCATATCCATCACTTCACATACCTATCGTTTCTTTGTGGTGAGTATATTTAAAATCTCCTTTAGCAATCTTGAAATATACAATATATTATCATTAACTTTAATCACCACACTGTGCAATAAATAAATCACTAGAACTTCTTTCTCCTAACTTTCAACCATTGTTTGGCCAGGATCCATGTGCATAGGGACTAGGGTCCATTTCAGAGCCCTCTACTCACTTATGGCTGCATAAAGAACAGGTAGAAGTTTTAAAATTAACTCTCATATGCCTCTCAGGATAACTCATTCCTGAGCAGAGCGTTCTCTTAAGGGTGGAAGGGAGGGAGGCAATGTGAGGATTTAGATTGTCCTATACAGTCAAAGCCCTGGGGTTCTTATTTCAATTACATAGATAGTCATTAAGCTTGGATGAATAAATGAGCATATAAATAATATTACAGAGGCTTTGGAATCCAACAGACATTGGCTTGAATCCTTCGTTTGTATTTGCATGAACTTGGGCAGGTCACTTAATCTTCATGAGCCTAAGTTCCCTTATCTGTAAAAAGGATATCACAATACTGCATTCATTAAAGACAAAGCTATAGTAACAAAACAAAGAGACTGCACATGTGGTGGCTCAAAAACTATATGTCTATTTCCCTCTCATGTATCAGTTCTGGAAGAACAAGCAAGGTTGATGGGGAAGTTTTGTTCATGTAATCATTCTAGGACCCAGGCTCCTTCTATCTTGTTGCTCTGCCTCCCCTAGGGTATTGTCATGTGTGTGGTCAAAACCAAGTCATTGCCAAGTTTGCACAGGAATGGGAAAGAGAGAGAGTAAAGTGAGGGGCTTGCCTCTGGAGTTGAAAATGACCCAAAAGTTGCACACCTTGCAATGACATGCCATTGATCTGAATGTAGCCAGATGGCCAAACCAACTGCAAAGGAGCCTGGGAAATGTGGTCAAGCTGGGAAGCCATGGGTTCAGCAACAATTCTCTTTCTATGGAAGAAAGAGACATTGCTCTTTGGTGAATAACTAGCTGTCTTATCATAGATAGTGACATCAGATAGCCATAATGAGAACTAAGTCATGTATAATATGCAAAGCATAGGACCTGATACACAGTCTGCACTTGAGAAATGTGAGCTATTATTTAATAATTTCAAAGGAATTCTTTTAGGATGAGTGTTATAATAATGTAATCAGAGTGCACATTTTCTTGGGTCTTTAGTGGGGCAGAGGGATATGGAAAAAATAAAAGAGTTTAGCCACTAATGTTTGGACAAGACTCAGGGAGGGTATAGCCTAGAAGGAAGAATCCTGTTGTAGGATGTACTGCCTGCTCCAGGTCCATCTCAAGGTGGAGTCTTGGAGGAAGCACTGACTCTCTAGAGGTGTCCTTCAGATGAGCCCTGGGATATAAGGATTCTGCAGTGGCAAGAGACAGTCATGACAAACATCAGTTAACCTGCAACTTGGTTGTCATGCCACCAACAGGTTCTACTTTTCATATTCAAGAGGAAGTTTTCGGGGGGGGGGGAGAGAAAGCCAGCAGGACATTCAGTGCTGATGGTATACCTGGGTTTAGTCTCACCATGGGGCAGATCACCTCACCTTTCTGAATTTCATATTTGTCCATGTACAAAATGGGGACCCAAACCCCCATCCTATGGGGTGGTTATGAGGTGAAGCAGGATTGTGGGTATGCCGCACACACCAAAGGGCTCTGCAGATGTGAGGAATTAGGGTAATTAACTAAAAGTGGGGGAATCCATCACCAGCAGTCAGGGGCGTCACCCAGCCCCACTGGTCTCGTGTGGCAGGTGGGTGGAGCCCACATACCTGTCCAAGAGAAACGCCTGCCCATCCCCCCCGGGAGTGGCAACAACACTGTCAGTCTTAATCAGAACTTCCTTTCTGGAAGCTGCTTCCTGCATGTCACAAACTTGGCGCAGTTCAAACCTCTGCTTCAAGAGTTATTTTCTTTGGGTTTCGCAAATCCTCTTTTACCCGGAGGAGACAGAGGCTCCACGATTCTTTCCACCTGGGAATGACCACAGTTCTAAGGCTGTTCGTGTTTCCCTGCTAAAGACATATTTGTGTGTCTACACCCCTCAATTTTCCCATCTAACTTTTATAAAAGTTAATTGGCATCACAAGATTAAGGGAGGCAGCAAGAGACAAAGAAATCAGTACCAAACTCTGCCTCTCCAGGTTGCTGGGAAAGTGATGGGCTTCTAGGGGGATGACACCAGGTTTGAGTCCCAGGCTGATAGCCTTGCTTTGGGTGTCTCTGCAGAGCGGCGCCGCAAGTGCACTGTGCACCCGATGTTTATTGCAGCACCATTCAAAGCAGCCAACGTATGGAATCAACCTAGATGTCCAACAACAGATGAGCGGATAAAGAAAATGCGGTATGTATACACAATGAACTATTATTCAGCCATAAAAAAGAAAAAATTCTGCCATTCGCAGCAGTATGGGTGGAACTGGAGGACATTATGTTAGGGGGAATAAGCCAGGCACAGAAAGACAGATACTGTATGTTCTCACTCGTACATGAAAGCTAAACAAAGTTGTTTTCATAGAATTAAAAAGTAGAACAGAGGATACTAAAGGATGGGAAAGCTAGGGGGAAGAGATTTGTTAAAGGGAGAGATTTGTTAATGGATTCAAAATTACAGCTAGATGGGAGGAATAAATTCTAGTGTTGTATACCTCTGTAGGATGACTAATTATAGTTAATTATAATATATAGGTTCAAATAGCTAGAAGGAGATTATTGAATATTGCCAATACAAAGAAATGATAAATGTTTGAGATGATGGATATGCTAATTATCCTAATCTGATCATTATAAATTATATGTATTGAAACATAACCATATACTCCATAAATACATATTATTATTATGTGTCAATTAAAAAAATAAAAAATTAAATTAAAAAATGCACTCAGAGCCACAGACCAGAATCCATTTGTGAGATTTGCTCTAACTTGAACTAGTACAAAAGATATTTTAACCTCTTTGTCTTTACTGGAAATAGTTACTACATATTACAGACAACAGCTATTCGTTGGGCATTTCATGGCTCATCTCTGGGTTGGGGACTGGATTGCACTTGGATTCTCAGAGTAGCTCTAGGAAAGGTTTGGCTACTTGCATTTTACTGATGGAAAAGCTGGGCTCAGAGAGGTTTTGTGATTTGCCTGAGATTGCACCAACAGTAGAGATCAGAGCATATGTTTAATCCCCCTTCTATCTTGCTCTACAACTAGGATGCCTGGGTGAGAGGAGGGTGGGAAGGGAAGATTTCTGGCCTTAGATCAGCCTTAGCTGATGCCACTGGACTCGGAGAGACCCTCCCAGGCAACCTGTCTTGAGGCTGGCTGGACCTCTGGGATCCATCCTGTCCACGGCTGACATCTGTGGGCGCTGTGGAAGCCTGGTTCAGGCAGTTCTGGTTCAGGCAGTTCTGGTTCAGACAGTTCTGGATCAGCCTCTCCTTACTCTGCTACAGGTCATGGGCTGTCTGGGCCTGAGCCCACAGAATCCAGTGGCTCTTAACCACTGTGTACAGAAGCCATTTAACATTAAAACATTCAAAATATTTTTAGTCTCTGTTTAGTAACCTAATTGAAAATATACAATGATAAAAAGATAATCTCAATTTAATAATATGTGAAAATAAGCCTGTATTTTATTCACCTCTGTCTATATAAATGGGTGGTAATGTACAGATATACACAGGTAATTCACAGAGGAAGTACAAATAGCTGATAAGCATATGAAAACCTGGTCAATCTCACTAGTAATCAGGAAAACACAAATGAAAACAATAATAAGACATTTCATTTATTAGATAGGCAAAAATTAAGTTTGATGGTAAGGGTATGAAGAAATGTTTACTTTTTTCTATTTTTTGTTGACAGAGGCATATATCAATGCAGCTAGTTTGGAGAGGAATAGGGCAGTGATTATTAAAATATATCACATACACACGCACTAAGGTTTGGCAACTTCACTTCTTGATAACTCCTTTGGTATACAAGCTGAGATGAACACAGAATCACTGTATGAAACAGCAACAACCCTGGAAATAAGTTAAATGTCAGCACTTAGTGTCTAGGACATAGTAAGTACACAATAAGTTTTAGTTACTCTTTTTTTAAATGAAATATTGGCAAAGAGTCTTTAACTCTGTTTGAATTTTTTGCAACAAGAATTAGTAATATATTATTTATGTAACTAAAACGTTTTAAATAAAAAAAGAAATATAGTTGTGCATATGCAAGTGCTGGAGGCATATCTGTGTTCAGTCTACGCACAATGTTTGGTAAACAAATAAAGACAGAGATTCCTTGTAAAATTTTTGCCCACCTTCTATCCCTTTGATGGTCTAAAACCCATAAGTTTTATAAAGTTTTTATAAACCTTTAAATAAAGCAAATACCATTGCTTTGCAGGCCAAGTTTTTAAAAATTAGTGTAATCCAAATATAAATCAGGGCCTATGTGGGCCAGTTTATGTAGGGGCATATACAAAGCAGCATAGCCCATCAGCCAAAATGAACTTAAAAAGGAATTTCAGAAACACACAAAAGCCTTAAGGGAGAGCCATTGAATAACCTCAACAACATTTCTAAAAGTACTCATTTCTCTTCTTCCCCAATTCTCCCCAAACCACAGTTGCCTTGGAGTCTTCCCCATTCTGACCTCTATGCACCCCACTCCCTCCTAAAACTCTGATAACTGTGTTTTCTCTTTTCTTGCCCTCTTCTCCCCTTCCCCTGCCAAGTTCTTTTAAGATATATATCAATTTAATCTCTCTGGGTTCTTTTTATTTTAAGTTTCACTTCCCCAATTCCTGAATTTAGCACACATACAAAAGCCTAGAGATCAACTCAAGAAGAAAGATTTCTCCCAACTCTCCATTCCACTATTTCTGAAACAATTTGCCTAAATATGCATCACAGAAAGCCCAAGGAAAGCCTGGCAGCACGTGCATGCATTAGCAGTGTTGGTCCCTGTCACACTAGATTCATCAAGAAGTCAGTTTAATTAAGCCTGAGTGTTAACAGACCTCCTGTTTTTAAAACAAGCCACTGCTACTATAAAAGGTCCCCTGTCCCTGGGCACATAATCCTATTTTAACATTGAGCTATTGGCCATGAAACCTTCCTGTGTTAGGCAGATTATCAAGTAAATCATGTCCCACTTAGCAAGCGAAGGGTGGTTGGGGAGTGAAAAGTTAGAACAATCTCCTTTTTTAAAATTTTAGTTTGCTTTTCAAAATTTGTTTATTTAACATTTATTTCTTGGATTCTAAGCTAAAGGATATATATATATGTTATCTCATTCCCTCTTTGCTACTCCACTATAAAGTAGTAATTATTTCCATTTTTCAGATGAATAACCTGAGGTTTAGGGAAGTCAAATAAAAACTCATGTCAAGTCACTCAGTAGCAGAGCATCTATGATCTTTTCACTGCAGTAGCTGGACTAGGAAACAGCAAAGCAAAGCTTAGCTCCACAATTCACTGTCTATATGAGATTGAAAAAGTTTTTTAACGTCTGTAAGCCATAGTTTTGTCATCTGTAAATAAAACTGTAAATACCTGAGAGGATTTTTGAGGAAATTAAATTCAACTAAAAGTGAAAGTATTTAGCTCAGTACCTGATACACTGTAAGGCTACCGTAAGCCGCACAGTATGCGAGTCCATTTTTAAAGAGGAAAACCATGACCAGCATGACTGTGGCTGATTGTGTAGAATAGCTCACTGACTCCTCATCACAACTCCCTTTTAGCTTAACTTTTCATATTATAGATGCTATGGAGCTAAGGACAAAACAAATCAAAGCTACATCTCCCAGATTCTCTTGCAGCTAGAAATCTGCATATGATCTGAATTTTGTCAAATGCAAATCTTGCAAGTGAAATGAGCAAGAGTCGTTGATAGCCATGCACAGGAAGCTCTGATATGCTGGCCAGTGGGGTGTAGGCATCTATATTAGAGCTGGCTGTGGTGGAGTCTGTAGAGTCCATTTTTCAGTGTCATAGGTTCTAATGAGTGAGCCACAGAGACTATGGGTTTTACAGTATAACAGTAAATATTATAGCCTAAGGGCCACTTAGCTAGGAGAAATGCCAACCCACATCACTATGGGTTTTAAAACCCATAGTGGTGTGGGTTGGCACACCCACTATGGGTTGAAAACCCATAGTGGTGTGGATTGGCATTTCTCCTAGCTAAGTGGCCCTTAGGCTATGATATTTCTTAAATTCAAATCTGGTTCTCTAGACCTCCTAGTGATTCTGTGAGCTATGCAATCCTCCTTCATAAATCCATTTCTGCTTAAACTGACTAGTGTAGGTGCTGTTGCCCAAAACTAATATTCAAAGACTAACACAACACCACCCAGGATTATGGAACTGGACATGTCAACCTTTAGTGTTCAAGGTGTCTCTTGGCATATGGCCAGTGTTCTCAACTAATATATTTTAAAATATGCAATATATTTCCAGGTTGTGCTATCAACAGGCAACAAACAGAAGATTGATGGTGAACAGAGATCACTTCTGAATTTTCTCTTGATTTTTCATTTTATGAATTATTTTAACTGTCTGTGGTAATTTCAAACTGTTTACATCATTAAATATGAAATGTCTGATTTTGAATCAAAAGTGTAGTTTATTATGTCTCAAATAAGAAGCAGTACGATTAATCAAAGTATGTGCCTAAACTGTCAAAACAGTTTTGCCATCTTAATGGTAGCTGGTTTATGCCTACTTAAGTCACTTTGTTTCTTGTTACTAACAGTTAATCTTAATCCTAGTTGGTATATAGGCATGTCGTGAAGTAAAAGACCAGAAGACCCGAAGTCTGGAGTGGGAGTGTATCCACTATCTTGTGAATCACATCACTCACCTGCCCCTCTGCTTTCCTACCTATAAAAGCGGCAGAAAAGTGGTTCTTAATTTATTTTGAGTTATAGAACTCTTAAGAATGTTGATTTAAGCTGTGACTCACCTCCTTAAAAAATACAAATATGCAAAGTTTTGAAGACAGTATCAGGAGATATCTGGAGGCCTCTGGAGCCAGTCAGTGAGCTCCTTAAAGGTTAAGCACCTGGAGACGGGAACCTGAATTCGAGAAGATCATTCAGCTTTAGGATTAGATCAACACTCTCAATTTTTGGTTTTAGATTATTGTTTTAAAATGCGTTCAATTCCTTTTACCTATGAACAGAATCAAAATGCATCTGAAAAATCACTCAACCCCAAATCTCCCAACAAGTACATTTCTGGATATATATGTGTGTATATAGAAATAATATATATCCATATATAAAAGTACATATATGTAAATACACATTAAAACTATGTGTGTATGATACACACATATATGCATACACATATATACATAATATATATACATATACAGTATAAAAATTGTATACTATACTTACGAGTTTTTTTATCTTCAAGCAATTTAGATAAGTATCTGGTAAGCAGGAGACCTTCTCTGTGTCTGTGAGTCTAGAAAGCGTCCTTGTGACTGTGTTAGTCCCACTTCTTAAATCTTCAGGTTGACTGCTACTGGGAACCTTTCTGGCTAAGCAAGGAGGCCGCAGAGCAAATGGCTTGTACATGCTGAGTGGCCCCATGAATAAAGCCACCACTCTGGGTCTGGGGTGCCAGGAGGACCAGCGAGAGACACTTAGTTCTGCAGCAGGCTGCACTGCATTTCTTCCTTAGATAAACAATGCTAAATCCTCGACATTGTCCTTACAAGGTATCTCTAACAGCACCGCTGTTAAGTGAACTCTGGTGGTACATAGAGAAAGAAAGAGAGAAGGTCAAGGGTAGATGACTGTGATGACCACATTTTGCCACTTAGAGGTTACCCAGCTTTCGCAAAACTCTACTGCCTTGTTTAGTTAGCTGTTTCTAAACTGGAACAAACAGACCTTTTTATAAAAATAAAAGCTGAGAAAGAAGCTTGGCTGTATTCTTAGGCCCAAGTTTTCCCTGGGTTAGGTTAGCTATAAATTAACCAGTCTGCAAAATATATAAATAAATGAATTTCTTTGTTCGAGCTATCTCTAGTAGGGCTCTGGTGGCTTGTTGTGAAGCCTGGTGGCCGTTCCACTGCCCAGTGCTTTTATAAATACTAATGAGTGACATATTGAGAAAAATTGTACCTACAAAAGCAAAGTCTTCTTCCATGCAAATCAGGCCTCAATTCCCCACAGATAAGGATCTTTTTGATGGAACACATGCAAAATCTCCAGCTCTTAATTCTTTCATTAGTATTCCAGGCAGATGGCTGCCAAATAACAGAGAAAACTGTCTGAATTGCTGTGTCTGAAACCTAATATTGATTTGTTTAATAGTGTCAGGAAGTCAAAATTCACAAATCTCCTGTCGATTGTTTATGAGGCAGTTAGCAGAGAATTGGTTGCCCCTGCTTAATTAATAACTCATTACTGAAATTTGATTATATGCTTGAATGCTTTAAATGGGTTCTAACACAGCATCTGCAAAGTGGCATGGTGACAAGGTAAGGCGGCTCGGAAAGCTTCCCTGTTTAGACTTGTGCCACTAGAATTTCCCCACAGTCATGTGACGCAGGCCTCTTTTGACGTTCTTGACAGGGTCGACCTCCCTAGTGTTAGTATGCTGGTTTAGAAGGTGTTATGGGGTCCTATGAACTGAAGAGAGGATGGGTCTGAAATTTGGGTTGGAGACATTTCTAGAAAATACATTGGACATGGACATAATTTATTGGTCACTTGATCAGAAGAGACATATCTGTGGTATTAACTGCAGGTGCACAAATTCTGAAGGTAGGAGCTGACGGAGAGGATTAGCTGGTGGGAAGACTGAAAGCATTCTATTCCTTAAGTGTTGCTGTCTCAGAAAATAAAAATTCAGCATGGCCAGTCGCTCCCTGTGTGGGCAGACTGGCGGGACCAAACCCGAGGAGGTCCTGGCATCATCTGACCTTCTACTCCGAGGCTGGGGGTGTATGGGGATGCAGCTCCACACAGTCCAGTGGCTGGGACAGGCAGGGAAAGTTATGGTGACATCAGAGGATGAGGGTGTCTCTGCTGTGTCTCCAAATTGAAATACTAATGTCTTTTTGAGATAACACGTGTGATGGGCTTGGCCTGGGCGTGCATAGAAGGGCGGCTCCCCATGGCTTTGTGATGTGGGCACTGCCCCTCCTGACCCGCCGGTAGCCCCTCAGCCCTGCCGCTCGTCCACCAGGCTACTGGCTTTCACCAGGGCTTGATGCTGGCTGACACTGATCCGAGTGACCCTGAGTCTCCTCTACTTTTTTTTAGGTGCACCAGGAAGAGAGAGCAGATGGGAGGCGGTTCTTAGCTGCACCCCTGTTCTGTGTCCTGCCAGTTGCTGTGGCAGGGACAGGATGAGAGCAAGCACGGGCGGCTGAATGAGTGTCCCCACCACAGCATGGCCCTCGAGTGGATAATGGGGTAATGTTCCCAGTCTGACCCAGAAGAAGATCTGTAGCTCCCAGGGGATTAAGGCTGTTGACTCAGTGGCCACACCGGGCACCGGCAGACACGGATGGAATAATCGCAGTGCATCTTGAAGGCTCCCGCAGTTACGTTATGGCAAAATAGGACTTACTGGGCTAGCTGTGACCTGGCCACCACCGGAGGATTATTGCATCATTTTAGAACATTGTTATTCTGGAAAAAATCAAAGAGTACTCTTTTAAATTCCAAACAGCTGACTCACAAGTGAACTTTTGGAAGCCAACCCTTTGTCATTGAGGGCTGCTTGATTGTAGCCTCGCATGGTGGCGCATGAAGGCCCCGGCAGTCAGGCCAAGCGTGTCCAGGTGGCCAAGCCCTCTGGCCACCCCCCTGAAGGAGCTCCTGTCCGATTGCCTGTAGGAAGGTAAGAAGCAGCTTCAGGCTGCACACAGTAAGGCCCCCGAGAAGGGCTGAGAGACGGGGGACGGAGGAGAGGGCATTGCCAGCTGGTTGGGCCAGGGAAGGCTCCTGGGAGAGGTGGGACCAGAATGGGGCCTCGGAGGGAGGGTCAAATTTCACGGGTGGGGTGCGGGGTGGCAGAGCATTCCAGGCAGGCCCAGGAGTGGGCTGGTCAAAGGTAGGTTTCAGGGACGGCGACTGGCCAGGTCGGCTGGAAAGGAGCGTAATATGACCAGCCCGTCTCCTGCCTGGGGTCTTAATTGAACCAGTCAAGCTTTCAAAATGAACAGTTGATCATTTGATTAAGAAGGGCCTTTGACTCTCTCAAGACCCACAGAGTGATTTTTATCAAAGTGGATCAGGAAGGTTTGCGTGGAGGAATGCTGCCCAGAGTCGGGAGGGAGCTTTCTCGCTGTCCTGGGGCCCAGCCCGGACTGCTTGTTCCCCACGGAGTGTCCGTCCGTTGGGTGGGCGTTCAGGGCTGAGGCCGGAAATTGAATCACCACCCACTTTAGGGTGGCCGGGCCAGGCTGACTGCTGCCGGTGACAGGAAGTTTATCAAGCCCTGCTTCAAAGGTAAAACCTGGGCTTTTCGTCCCCCTACCTCCAATCACTAGTGTCCCCAAACACACGGCTTCCCCTTCACTTAGCCAGCTCTGGTGCCAGGAGAGCTTGCTGCTGCCGTCTGCCGTGAAGGCGATTTGTCAAAGTGCTATTAAGGACTTTTGGTTATACGGAAAAAAAAAAAAGAAAGAAAGAAAGAAAAAATAGTCAACTTTTTTTTTTAAACTCTAATTTATTATGCTTGATTACGCAGCTGGAATGGGAAGGTAGCTGCTGTTTGTAGTTAAATAACTCCTCACAATTTCTTAAAGAAATGATCTTCAAAGCTTTAACGGGTCAGTGGCTCAAGTACAAAGGAAAGATTGATTTTCATCCTCCCACCCTTTGTTCCCAGAGTTTAAAACAGACACGTTTGGGTAAATTAGTTTGTCTATGTTATTAATGGAAGAAGTTATTAAACTCCCATAAATATACGGTGGTATCTTGCTAAGAAAGTCAAATTTGTTTTAAGGAAAAAGAGTAAGAAAGAAAATGTGGAAGAAAAACCCAGAAGGATGGTTGGTTATTATTATTTCATTTCTAGATGTGACTTTGGAGAAGGGGCTGGCTCTAGATGTCACCCAAGTAGTGGGACAAAAGCCCAAGGAAGGAACTCCCCCCCCCCCACACACACATTAAAAAAATCCTTGGATTTGATGAAAAGCATTAAGAGGTGGATTATGGCAGGAGTGGGGGTGCGCATGGGTGGGAGGGTGCGGGAAAGATACTCTTACCACCGAAGACAGAATGATAGAGAACACGTCAGCTTTTAAACCTGAGGGGCTGGTGAACATTGGGTGGCTGAGGCTAAAAGGTTTTCCTCTGCTTAAGGGGCCATTTTGGAAGACAGGATCAGAAAGGACTCACCTGAGTAAGGGAAGCAGCCCCCAACCCACATCCTGGGCCAAAATGTGAGGGAGACACAGCTACAGGGCCCACCATTGGGGGTCACTCACCCAAATAGCTGGGGATCCCAGGCCCCAGTGTGCTTATACAGGTAATGCTCCAACTGTGCACAGCACTTTACAGTTTATAAACCCCTGGGTTCAATATTTCCTTTGAACCCCACAATGACCCTGGAAGTTAGGCTGAACAAGCCTCATGATCCTGATTTTGCAGATGTGGAGAGGCAAATAAAAAGCATTTTTTCTTTATCGCCCTTGAGTAGAAAAGTAGAATACAGGGAAGTATTTGGGAAGTAGGGAAGAGCTGAAAGAAGAACACAAAAAATCAGTGCCAGATGACATTTAGCGTTTTGGGTTTTTCCCCTTTGGACTTTTCTCAGTGACCACACACACATGCTCATTTGCACACACGCACATGTGTGCTCACCGAGCGCTCGGTGTGCCCGGGACCATTGTAAGTGCTTTTCACATGCAAATTCATTTATTCCTCAAAGCAACTGTGCGAGGTAGGTACAATTCTTACCTATATGTCACAGAAAACAGAGGCACAGAATGGTTCTGACTCGCAGGTCACCCAGACAGTGAGGTGAGAGTGGGTAAGGGTTGAACCCAGAGGGACCAGCAGGTTCTGGCACCTGTCTTGCATTCCTCGCCACTCTGCATTCGGCGTCTTTATACATCTGTTGACTTATTTAACATGTATGAAATTGTAGTATATCTACAATATTGAATCCTGCTTTTTTGTCATTTAGTATTGCCTCATGAGCATTTCTGATGTCATTATAATTCTTTTAAAAGATGTGCAGTGGCTGCACCACCAGACGGAGAGGTCTCGGCTAGAGTTAACTGCCTTGCATGGGGCCCACAACCCAGGAATGGGACCAGATCCTCTGGCTCAGAGTTCAGCACTCTCCCCACTGCACACTGTCAAGATGGTCACAAAACAAAAGAGAAAAAGTACGAATCCACAAGTAGCCAGGATGTACTGTCAGATTTGACAATGGCCCAGGAATCTGTATAGCTGGGGGCTGACACTATTTTTCTTGTTACTCTAGCTGTCCTCATTTTATATTCTGTGTGAGAAATTATTTTTTCAGCTCAAGACTGGGAACACTTCTGTGTCCCCTGGGAAGTAGATATGCTTCCTTCTTTTCCTCCTTCATAACTATTTTTCCCTTTTCCCTTTTGCCACCAGGAAGCTCAGTATTAAATATGAAGCTAAACTAAAGCAACTATGTGGTCTCTTATGACCTGCACACCCTTCTTTTGCTTCCCCTAGTCTTGATGGCCTACTCTCATTTTCATTTTCTCAGGTTCTGTTTTATGTTTACATGTTGCCATGACAAGTGTTACCAGGTCTCCTTGATCTGTGAGGAGCAGCCACCCTGCTCCTGAGCAGCTGATCCGTGAGGAGCAGCTTCATATTGTGGGGATAGCTGAGCAAAATAATCTTGAGCATTCAATGTTGAGTCACTGTTTATAAAGCTTGTGAAGAGCCATATCCTAATTAATGATCCTCCTAGGCATGTGAGAGGAAAGAATGATCATACTCAGTCCCATTTTATAGCTGAAGAGACTGAGGCTTGGAACAGAATAGAAGAGCTTAGCCAAGGTCATGCCCAAGCCCCTCTCTACTACCTGGGAGTCTTTGGAAAAGTACCATGATGCCTCAGTGCAGAAATGGGAATTCCTTTCCTTTCCTAGTCTTGCTCTTTCTTTGTGTGTTGGAGTTTCCCAAAATGTACTAGTGAGTTGACTGTTGTTATTACTGAGCAATATTTTGATATTTTGAAATCCATATATTGGTTTTAATAAATTATAGTGAGTGAAACTTGTTTTCCTTTTATAATAGTAATGTGATATGCTGTTTTAAAATAAACATATTAAAGTTATAACAAAAAAATCAAATCAATTTAAAGTAAAATATTGAGTCTATGTTAGAAGGGTAGGTATTCAGATGCAACCAAACAGGTGAGATGGCTACTTCCTCCTTCTGGTCTTTCTTCCCCTCATCCCCAGCCTCATTTATAGCTCACTACCAACTAAGAACTGTGTTCACTGATACAGGAGCTGGTCTCACAGAGAGGACTCCAGAAGACCAAAATGTTCTCAAGAGCCAAAGGAATGAATTCCTAATATAAAAATTTCAGGCCAGCAGTGAGATTCCTTATATCTGAAAGGCAATCCAGTCTCCTAATCAAATATCGAAGGAGGAAGTAGTATCAGGAAGCCCAGGTTAAGTTCCTCTTTGCCACTATGGTAAGCCAGTTCATCTCTCTGCAGCTCTATTTGTTCATCTGTCAAATGAGTGATGCCACCTTTATGGTTAGGCTAAAGTTAAGGTTACTTCCTCCAGGATTGATCAGGCTTGCTTCACCCAAAGTTACAATGTTCCTCTCCTTTCTTCTTCTCAGCAGGCCCAGCAAAACAAATTAATTCACCCTTAAGTGATCTGTGAGTGCAAAGGGCCAAGAAAAATTAGCTCCGTGAGGCACTCCAGGCTCTGCAAACACATTGGATGTCCATGGAGTGGGGTCACTGTCTGGGCCTCAGTCTGCTCCTGTCTGGGATGAACTATGTCAGGTCTGGCAAATAAGTAAGAGCTTCCTGGGATGCTGTACATAGAAGAATCCTGAGTTTATTTATCAGTTACAAGAGACTCTTGGTGGAATCTTTGGGGATTTCTAGATACCAGATCATATCATTAGCAAAGAGTGATAGTTTGACCTCCTCTTTCCTGATTTGGATACTCTTTGTTTCCTTCTCTTGCCTGATTGGTCTGGCTAGGACTTTCAGCACTATGTTGAAGCAAAGTAGGGATGGTGGGCATTCTTATCTTGTTCCAGTTTTCAGGGGCAATGCTTTCAACTTTTCCCCATTCATATGATGTTGGCTGTGTGTTTATCATACATGGCCTTTTAAATTCTAAGATATGCCTAGTTTGTTGAGAGTTTTTAATCATGAAAAGGTAATGGATTTTGTCAATTGCTTTTTCTGCATCTATTGAGATGATCACATGGTCTTTGTTTTTGCTTTGGTTTATGTGGTGAATCACATTTATTGATTTACATAAATTGAACCATCCTTGCATCACTGGGATAAAGCCCACTTGGTCCTGGTGAATTATTTTTTTTGATGTGCTATTGAACTCGGTTTGCTAGTATTTTATTGAGGATTTTTGCATCTGTATTCATAAGGATATTGGTCTTTGTTTTTTTGTTGTTGTTGTTGTTGTTATATCCTCTTCTGGCTTTGGTATCAAGGTGATACTGGCTTTGTAGAAAGTTAGGGAGGATTCCCTCTTTCTTAATATTATGGAATAATTTCTGTGTTATGGGTCCCTGGTCTTCTTTGTAGGTCTGATAGAATTTGGCTGTGAATCCATCCAGTCCAGGGCCTTTTTTCCTTTGTTGGGAAGTTTTTTTTTGTTTGTTTGTTTTTATTAATGTTTTGATCT